CAGCAATAGGATCCAAACATCCTTCAAACACAGGTGGTTTATGCTTCCTGAAAGCATTCAGCCGGTGATCTATCACATCACGATCCTCAGCAGGCTCTACAAGAGTCTCCCTCGTCTCAGCGACATGAGCAGCACTGCCAATGTGACTCAGGCTCTCATCCTGAACAATAGGTGGAGGCGGCGACGGCGGTGGCGGTGGAAACTGACCTACAGCAGGACCAGCCCTCATCTCCTACAACATGACTCTCATCATCGTCATGTTCGCCATCCTGTTCACCTCGAGGACATCCTTAGTGGTCCTCCGGTTCGATTCACGAACCTCCTCTGCGGCTATCCGGTTCGCCTCGCGAACAACATCCATCATTGCCGCGTTGGCCAATCTAGTGGCCTCCTGATCGGCTAACCTAGTCGTCTGCATCTCAGCCAATGCAGTCAGAATAGGATCAGATTGATCCTCAGAAGTCTCTCGTGTTCTCCCGGACCTTACCATGACTCTGCACAAGTTACACAAATTATGAGTTGATCAGGCCCACGCAATGTGATTACATATGCATTATCATAATAAAATTCAACAGAGTAAACACACAAGACAGACACAACCAAACATCCTAGCTATTGCAATACATACAGGCTTTTCCCTCGAACCATTGCTCTAATACCATAAATGTAACACCTCGTATATATCCAGTAATGTTATCATACTATCGTATTAAGCTGCGCTTAATTAAAAATGCGGAATATCTTTTTCTTTTCAATTATGAAGTCATTATCATTACCAACTTGCTTATTAACCAATTAATAAAACATCGCCTGTATGCAATTGCAATAAAACAGCTAACTGAAATACCTCATTAATTAAAACAACATAAAGTATGTCTCTAGTCACGGAACTACAACACGTAGACCAGACCAACTATCAATTTATACAACTCAACTCAAAAGTACTAACAACATAGTGGCATGGACAACTCCCATGCTCACCCAAATAAGGCAACAAAGCCCAACATAAGTCTCAACATCAACAACATAATAATAATGCGAAAAAAGTAAACAGCATCCAGTCCAGTCATGCTAGCAAAAAGCAGTAATATCATAATCAGCTAAGCTCTGGCCTCCTGCCGCCAGAGGTATCAGTCACCATACTACCTGAACCTGAAATAAGCATTTCCCAAACGTGGGGTGAGATCTCTAAACAAGAAATCTCAGTAAGACAAGGGGTCCTCAAGGATCTTCCACCCCAAGCTCACATACATGCGCAATATAAGTTCAAAAGCAGTTTATCATCATCAGTTCTAAATCAGTGCAATGCAGCAGATAATCATGTCATATGTGTCAATTCTATTCTACTGGCCAGAGAAATGCAGGATGTACGTTTACAACCCCACAATAAGTACAAGATGCCGTTTGTATCCACCCCGGATCACCGTATTGTATGACGCCACATACCCAGGCTTACTGTCAAGATGGAACAACACATGCATATTAAAAGCCATTAACACATAAAGCTCAACAGCAATTCATATATCTCAAAGCATGTAACACAGCATGCATATAACCATACCCCCATGGGACATGGTGGAACCAAAACATGGCTAAACCGAGGACACGAAAGCTTACCTTGTAAGCTAACACCCAAAGCCAAGAGTCCACAGCTCAAAGTCCAAACACAGCAGATTCACAATCTGTTATGGACCAACAATATATCAATAACATGCACCGCAAACATACAATATTAAGACAACGTCTTTCCATTACGTTTTACGTCTTAAGGCTTCTCACCAAACCATAAGCCCTTAATCATATGATTCTGACTTACATTAATTAATTACAGAAGTTCAACTTCCTCAAACTAGGGTCCACAAACCCATAGATCAGTTCTGGATGAACAGTAGGCTACTGTTCCTCACAAACCCAGAATATCCGGATATTCCTCGGGGACATATCCGGATATGCAATATCCGGATATCTCACAGGCAATATCCGGATATCACTCTGGCAATATCCGGATATCCAAATTCCCATATCCGGATATCCATATCCGGATATCAATATTCGGATATTCCACGTCAAATATTTGGATATTTCGCGACAGAATGCAGTTTCTGCATTTCGCGAAGATATCCCTCCAAGGTTCCATTTTTAACACTTCCAGAAGCTTAAACATGCATCTTAAGGTTCATTTATGTTCATATGACAGTTGGTTACTTGTTTAACTCATTAAACATACCAAGACATCTCTTTTACTCATCAAAACACAAGATAAAGGTTGGTACAACTTACCAAAGCTCAAAACATAGCAACAATGGCTCTTGGAGCTCACTACACTGCCTCTACAGGTCTGACCTTCAAGGCACACGAAAATGACAACACAAGTAAGGTTCTTTGTGCCAAAAGGTGGCTTCTTGAAGCTCAAGAAGCCAAGAACAAGAGCTCCCATCAAAGGAACACCAACTCTGACCATCAACACCTCACTAACAACAACTCAGAATGGAGCACCCACCCTCTTCACAAAGCTCACACACACTCAACCAAGTGTTTAGATGGTGAAACAAAGAAGAAAAGATGAAGACTTTGCACAAAACAAGCATGGGAGGCTAAGGAAAGGTGGTGGCAGCAGCTGGCCTCCAAGTTACACGTAGAGTGGCTGAAAAATTAGCCTAGGATTTAGTGCCAAGCACTATTTATAGGCGATTAAGTCACTAACACACAATATTAGCTTTAATTGCTACGTTTAGCATTTTAATCCCAAACTTTGGTTTCTTAACCTACTCAATTTTACAAGAATTATCATATTTTTCTTATAATTTTCGGAGCACCTTTCCGGTACACGCTTTTCATAGCCAGTACCAGTTTCTGGCACCAGTTCTCATTATTTGGACTTGAAACTCGTTCTACAAGTCCTATACATTATTCTAGTAATTATCATGTACTTATTACAATTTTTCGGGATACTTTTTCGGTACGCATTTATACCGACTAGCAGAACCGGTATCTGCACTTTTCTTCCGAAAAGCGACTTTCAACATTCTTACTCACTTACTATAATTATTAGAGCCTCATAATAATTATTAGGGTCAATTATGGAATCATTTCCTATTTTCTCATAATTTATTAATTAAATTCCTTAATTAACGGTGCGGGTTCTTACCGTGGACATTAGCGATATCCCAAGGTACCTTCCTAAATTTGGTGCAATAAAAATTAATTTGGGCTATCTCATTAGCTCTGGTATGATTTATATTCTTGGAGAAGAAAATCCTTGTCTTCTCCTCGATGATTGTTTGCTTGAGGACTCACAAAAACACCTTAATATGCTGCTAATGATCATGACCTGCTTAATGGATGCTTATGTAAACAGAAGCAAGTCATCCGCAAAAAAAAAAAAAAATATGGGTGAGAGGGTGGCCTTCCCTTGAGAAGGACAATTTTTGTCAGTTGCTTCCAATATGATGTGTGCCAGCCTTTCAATGCATAGGACAAAGAGGTAAGGAGACAAAAGGGTCTCCTTGTCTTATGCCTCTAGTTAGAGTAAACTAGTTCATTTTTCTTTTTTTTTTTTTTTTTTTTTTTTTTGTAAATAAACTAGTTCATTTTAGCTCCATCCCACAACACATGATATCATTGAGGACACTACTTCCATAATTAACTCAACTATCTGTTGATGGAGGCCAATCTCCTCAAGAGTTTGTCGTAGAAAAATCCTATTGACTTTGTCGTAAAGGGGAAGAAGAAAATAATTTTCAACTGATACAATCAAATGGGTCCCACTAATTTAAAAGAAAAAAAAGAATGAAATGAAATGTTGGCACACAAATTGAACTCTCACCCACAGGAGAGCATCAATTTTGCTGCAACAGTAGAATTACTTTCCCCATATATTAACGGTGTTACATGTTTTATGGGAGAAATTTCAGTCATTAGTTTTAATGACAAAATTCATAAATTGGAAAATAAGAAATGATGATTTTAATTGCTAACATTTTGACCTGAATTTTTCACATGTGATTATGTTAACATTTTTTAAAAGGTACCATGGCATGAAAATTGCCAATGTTCTTGATATTTTTTATTTTTTTATGAGATTAATATTTTTCATGTTATAGAAAATAATTTTATCTTCTACACACATAAAAATATATAAAACTTATGTGGAGCCATTTAAAGAAAATAGAGAAAAAAAAATATACAACCCACATCCTTTTATATAAGTATAAGAAACATTAATATTTTTTTATTACAGTTGGATAATATTTGAGTTAGGTTGCGAATACCCTCGTTATGATTATGAAATTCACAAGGATATTCATTAATTGACATGATTAAAATTTAAATTTGTAACCGTCTATCCGCATTCCTTGCTTGTTTTCCGCAAAATCAAATTCTTACGGTGTGTTTGTTACAAGTTTTATTTTGAGTTTGATGGATAAGTGTAGCTGAGTATTGAAAAATATCACGTTTGGTTCAAATTTTTGAAAAAAAATACTAGGCAAATAGGAAGGCTAGGAAACGACTTTGGTGTTGATTTCGGAGTGAAATTCACTGTTATAAAATAACACTTGAGATGTGGTATTTTAAGATAATTGGAAAAGTGAAAAAAAAAAACAGGTGCAAAGTTCTTATCGAACATAGATTTTGCAAATTTAGATAAATTTTTTCAGTAATATTTCGGATTTTCGGTCAACCAAATATTTTTTTTTAAATTTTTCCATCAAAATGACTTTCTTACCATTTCTCCAGTAATCATATTTTTCTGGTAAATTTTTTTTTTCCTCTACCAAATACCCCATTAGAGTTTTTAGTATTCTTATTTGAATTTTGCCTCTCATCTATTCATATTTTTTTATTAATTATTTTTAATTATAATTTTTAAAATTACTCAATTAAATAGGAGTAAATAAATAAATGGAAAAAATAATAAATATTTAATTTAAATTGAATGTATCTGATTGTGGTCGAGAAAGCAACAGTGAGTGTGTTATTGGGGAACAAATCAAATTGGCAAATAGAGTGAGTGTTAGCGAAGAGTGAAGAGTGAAGCGTGAAGGGAAGATGAAAAGGTTTTTCCAAGTAGTGGAGAAAGATTCAGATGGTTGTTTGAAGAAGCCAAGAGAGAGTGAGAGTGAGGAAGAAGAGAAGAAGGAGCCGTTGAAGTTTTTGACATGGAATGCTAACAGCTTATTCATTCGGGTCAAGAACAATTGGCCCGAATTCACCAACTTCGTTACCAGTTTTGATCCTGATGTCATTGCCATACAGGTCCCCTTTTTCATGCATTGCAACCCTACACTCTTATTTATTTTTTTATTTTTTTCTATTGATGAATGAATGGCTTTTGGAGAGTTAATCCATTTGTTGTGTTTGGAACCCTGTTGTCAAATTCTTATATCTTATTAATTATAAATAATTAGTTGGTAGATAAATAGTTAAGAGTTTCAATTAGTGAGCCAAGTTGTTTCACTTTAAGCATGAAATGATCATGCTTTAGTTGTCCATTAATTGAGCTGGTGTTATTTATCTCCAAGCAAGCATTGTTCTGTTTTGTTGGATACATATTTTATGGTAATAGGCTTGGTTGATAAGAATCTTCTAACATCAAATTTTTATTAGGAAGTGCGGATGCCTGCTGCTGGATCCAAGGGTGCATCTAAGAATCAGGGAGAAATAAAAGATGATACAAGCTCCTCCAGGGAAGAAAAGAAGGTACAGCTCTGTCCTGTTATGGATTATAGCTGTTAGAGAAGTATATAAACTATTAATGGGCCTTCACTTACCAGATTAAGCTTTTGGGTTGAATTGGTTTTTTATATGGTATCAAAGTCTCGTGTTCCGGGTTCAATTCTCACCGGACCTATTTTCTCTTGTGGAATTTCTTAGCACAGGTAAGTGGGCATGTGCATTATCCACTCTTCATACCCGGTGGGCTCTCGTGTGAGGGGACGTGTTAGAGAAGTATATAAACCATTGATGGGCCTTCATTTATCAGCTTAAGTTTTTAGATTAAATTGGTTCCTTACAATAGCAACTACTACATATGTTGCTGGGACTGTGAGTCTAAGTATGTTTTAAAATTCTTATGTGAATTAATCAATTCTTAGCGTTATATATTATTGACCTGCTGGATTATTCATGTTAGTCTTAGTAGAGCTGGAAGTGGGAGGAACTGATCAAAAGTGTAAATTGGGTTGGCCATTGATGATATTTCTTGAGTTTACTTTTTTTTTATTGTCTGAATATCTAACTTACTTTCATCACTAGGAAGAATGTCATATGCTTTTCATCCTATATCCTTCTTCAGTGTATATCTAAGTCTGTTATTTAATATGACTATGGATGGAGTAGCATTTGAGAAAAACAAGAAATACTAGTCATATAGGAACTGCTACCTCCTAGAACCTGAGTGGTTTTCTACAGGGTTGGACTTGTCGTCCGAGTGCACCACCTTTGTCGTGGTGGTGATGGTGGTGGGTATCTGCAGGGCCACTTCAACACCTAAGTCAGTGCATGATAAATGTGGTTAAAGAGTGTTTAGGCTAAGAGAGAACATAACTTGGAAATGGATGAGGTCACTCGTATTTATAGAGGTCAGAGATGGTAGCTTTTACGGGGGGAGATGCAAGTGTACCTCCTCCTCCTCATGATTGAAATGATTTGGGTGAGATATTCTATTATGGGTTAGTTTATTGTGGAGTGACATTTGTTCATTTTGTTATAGGGTAATCAGGATTGGGCCCTGATAGGGATGATCTGATCAATTTGATTGGGTAGATTGGATGAGATTGATAGGTCGAGTTGCAGGGTTGCTGGGATAAGCTTGATCATCCTGATGTACAATCTAGGTACCTAGCATAGCATTATCTGGGAGTTCTCTGAACACGGTTGCTACTTTAAGACACAAAGGGGTTACCATTATGAACACCAAGAAAAACTATGAAAAAGCATCTATCATTTCAAAACAAACATTGATGCTGGAAGATGATTGCTAATATTTATAAATGAAATATGTGGAGAATGGAATCGTATATTAGTTCTGTTAGAGATATATAAAACCATTAATATAGCCTCACCTATCAGCTTAAGCTTTTGGGTTGAATTGGTTCTTTACATGGTATCAGAGCCTCGATATCACGGGTTCAATCTATACCGCCCCCCATTTAATTAATAATTAGTTAAGTCTTGTGGAGTTTTTCAGCACAGGTAGGTGGGCCTGTGCATTGTCCACCCTTCAAGCCCTGTGGACTTTCGTGTGAGGGGGCGTGTTAGAGATATATAAAACCATTAATGTAGCTTCACTCATTAGCTTAAGCTTTTGGGTTGAATTAGTTATTTACAAGATCCTTTAAAAATCAAAACTTCTTTTTGGGGCTGGGGAGTCTCTATGAAAAAAATGTGAGGTGTTTGGAAACTTGGGGAGAGTGTGCACATCTTGAGGAACACACACCGCCCCCTGATTCTGCTAGACAACTAAATGTCTCTAACTTACAAATAATAAGAAAAGGCTTAAGTGAATATCTGCCTTGGTGTTCTCATAATGAGCTACAAGTTCCACTGTTTTAATGTATGTTCAGGTTACTTGACGTAAGAAATTATGAACTCCTGAAGCTCTCAAATGAAAGGATATATGTGATAGCTTTAATATGATGCTTAAAGTTCTTTGATCGGTCTTTGAATTACTTTAGTCTGAAGGGGTGTGCCAAAATCTTCATGCAATGGTTTGCATTGGCAATGACCAACTCTACTAAAAGTTTAACTTGTTAGGTGAAAATTCATGAATGGCTTTATTAAATCTTTGACACATCCTCTTATGTAAGATCCCTTTGGGCTTAAAGTGTGGACAATGTATAGGCCTATTTTTACTATGTGCTAAAGCTCAGCTTCTATTTAGAATAATAAGGGTGGCAAGGATCAAAATTCAGACTACTTGGTTACAGATGCTCTTATACCATGTCAATGGTCAACTTCCCTAAAAACTTAAGCTATTATGTTAAGGTTCATAATTGACTTTATGACATCTCTAATATGCATAAACATTATTTCTACACCAAAACATGAACAAAACAATATAGTATTGTTAAATTGATATAATCATGATATTGCTTTCTAATACTCTAGAACGCATATTTGTTCGAACTTACACAGATATTGATGCGTGCACTTTCAACTCCACCTTTTGGGAACTATCGTGTTTGGTGGTCTCTCGCAGATTCAAAGTATGCAGGGACAGCACTACTAGTGAAAAAATGCTTTAAGCCAAAAAGTGTCGTTTTCAATCTAGATAAAATTGGTATGCTGCTTCACAGATTTTTCTTATTGTATTTATGGCACTAAGTGTTTAATTAATTTTGTTTATATAAACAGCTTCTGCATTCAAGGGGAAGAACCAGAGTAATGGTAAAACTGTACTTTCATGACTGAAATGTCATGGGTTCGAATCCAGGAAACAGCCTCTTTGTAATTATGCAAGGGTAAGGCTGCATACAAGGATTACCTCCACCCCACACTCGCTAGTCGGGTTTAATGGAGAGTGGTTATATAAACAGCTTCTGCATTCAAATGACAGATATCAGTATTGTTAATTTTCTTTTGGCTGAAAATAATATCAAAATTAACGTTGTTAATTTTTAATCCTGCCAAGATTTGAACATGCTCATTGGTGACTTTAAAAGAATTACACGACCTTATAATTACAAAATATTTTTTGTTTTAATATAGAAAAAATGTACACTGAGGAGGATCAGGAATCCTCCTAAATATAGTTATAATGTTTTGGTTCTTAAATTTTTTAACTATTAACAATTTGATATATTATTCAACATTCCAGTTAAATTTTTTAGATAAATTTTATATGTCCTTAAAGACAATCAGGATAGTGACTTTTACTGAAATAGGTATCTAATATATTTGCCTTGGATTATACTCCATAAGTTTTTTGTTTCTGCTGATAGATCTTACTCTTGTTTTTGTTGTTAGCTTCGAAGCATGAACCAGATGGCCGAGTAATCTTAGCTGAATTTGAAACACTTCGTATATTGAATACATATGTACCAAACAATGGATGGAAAGAGGAGGCAAACTCATTTCAGAGGAGAAGAAAATGGGATAAAAGGATTCTGGAATTTGTTACACAAAATTCAGACAAACCTTTGATATGGTGTGGGGATCTGAATGTCAGGTGGCTAATCTCTTTTTTTTTTTGGCTTTGGGGGTATAGGATTAATTACTTCCATCCTCTTTGTTTGGCAATGTATTTTTGCCTCTTGCATTCTTTTGTCATGAAATTTTAGCTGAGTCAAGCTCAGCTGTTGGCTGCATCTAGTTTTGTTACTAGCCATGCCATGAACAAAACAGATATCCAGTTTGAGGGACCACTAAGATTTATGTTTAATTTTAATTTGATGCAACTGTATGCATTATATTAAACTAATTGGTTGAGGCTACACTTCGCTCTGGATGAGATTTTAGATCTAGTTTTACCTAACCAAAAGCATAATTTTTCTTTAGTTGTCACGAGCTTTAACTTTGCAAGAGTAAGACTGTGTATAAGGATTACCTTCACCCAAACCCTCGTTAGTTGGGGTTTAATGGAAAGCGTTTTTTTTTTTTTTTTTTTTTTTGTCATGAGCTTTAGATCTTATAAGTGAATAATTTTGGCCTTCTCCAATCTTAGTATCTTATACTAGAGGATTGTTATGAATGTTGCATGGATTTTTCCAAGTTGTGTCTACTAGCTCATCTAATTTTTAAGGAGCTTTATATATGTGTTCTCTGCGTGCAGCCATGAAGAGATCGACGTGAGTCATCCAGAGTTTTTCAGTGCAGCAAAACAAAATGGCTATGTTCCTCCCAATAAAGAGGTCTAAGCAGTTCATTCTTGAAGTTCCCTTTAAAATAGATTCATCTCTTTTAACTTCAATAGATTTATCTCCAACAAGCTTAATATATTAGGTGGAGGCCAGGAATGGTTGTATTTCTCTTAGACTCCAACATGCCCCCTTAGGCAAGATAGTTCTACAAACTTAGCATGGACAATGCATAGTCTCACTTTACCTTGCGCCAAAATTTAATTGAATTATGAAGAATGGGTGTGGTAAGAATCAAAATTCTGAATACTTGTTCATAGAGGCTTTGATACTGTTGAGATATATTAAACCATTAATGTAGCCTCACCCAACAGTTTAAGCTTTTGGGTTGAATTGGTTCTTTACATGGTATCAGAGCCTCGTGTCCCGGGTTCGATCCTCGTCGCCCCCCACTTTCTTTCAAGTGGAATTTCTTTGTTCGCACAGGTAGGTGGACCTGTGCATTATCCACCCTTCAAGCCCAGTGGGCTCTCGTGTGAAGGGGCGTGTTGAGATATATTAAACCATTAATGTAGCCTCACCCAACAACTTAAGCTTTTGGGTTGAATTGGTTCTTTACAAAAGGAAACTCTCCTTAAGAGCTTAAGTATAGAGGCTCAAGATGGTTTTATATCTCTTACAGTTGGCATCAAGTATTGTAGTGTAGTTCTCTATCATACAACTAGTAATTAAACATCTGTTGACATGGCTTTATGCAGGATTGTGGGCAGCCTGGATTTACCTTGGCTGAAAGAAAACGATTTGGTACCATCTTAAGAGAGTGAGTGATCTCACTATTCTTTTTGTTCATTCATTTTTGTTACCTATGCATCAACATGGCAAAACCTCATGCGAGAACATGTTATCATGCAAGATTTGATTCTTCCTTTCACTCAAAACTGACACAGGAAGTTTGTTTCTTGCAGTCTATTTAACTTGATGATGAGATAGATTGTATGGATCCATTTAATGTCTGTTCTGTCATAATATTTTAAAGTTTAGGAAGTGATATTTTATATATAGTATTTGGTACAATTTGTAATACCTGATTTTTAATCAATTTTCATAGTAAAAATGATTATTAAAAAAGTTTAGATTTCAAAATTTAGTATTATATTTTCCTATGTGTTTGGGCTACCCATAGTTTGTTAACGGTTGAGTCCACTGCAATAAATAAGATCTTTTGAAGTTTTAACTTTTAATTACTCTTATTGGCTTTTCTTCATTGAAGAGGGGTGAGAGCTTTTTTCTTTTGTTATAAGAATGGATTATGACACCAGGTCCAAGGACAGAATGGGATTTCCAATGCAATGATCCTAAGTTCAAGCTAGATAGGGATGGGGAATTGGGCTTGCATGACTGGGAATAAGAGGTAACGGTATCAATCAAAGAAAAGAAACAGAAAGAAGAGTAACTACAGCAAATATAGGAAGACTAGGAGAAATTGGACTTTGCATTTTATCTTTAGATAAGAAGTCTGTATTTTCACTGAGTATTGCTACCTAAGACAAGGACAACTAAATTGATAAAAAAATATTATTTTGCACCATAGTTGACTTGTTTCTGATTGTAGTAACTCCTCATCCCCTCCTTTTACCCTTTATTTTTAATGACATTATTATTTATTTATGTAAAGTCTTAATATCTGATATTATAGAGCATGCTTCAGGGGAAAGCTGATAGATGCCTACAGATTTCTGCACAAGGATAAGGACATGGAGCAAGGTTTCTCATGGTCTGGAAATCCAGTTGGAAAGTAAGAAATTTATTTTAGAGTTTATACCGTGATAATTGATTCTCAACATTAATGCTGATTAACTATTATGTTGATGCAAATGCACTTAAATAATTTAAAGTATACTTTAATTTTTTTTCTCTTAACCATTTTTCTTTTTCACCTTTTCCTTTTACCCCGAGAAAGGCATCCTCTGGAACAGCTATTAAAATGTGTGATGAGTTGCAAATATAAACAATGGGATTCTTTTTAATGCTGTTTTCTATTTAAGACAGACTTAGTAATTTGACTAATCTAATTGACAGCTTTACCCTTTTTGTTCTTATGAGTATTTTCTTTGAAGGTATCGCGGAAAACGGATGAGAATAGACTATTTTACAGTTTCAGAAAAACTTAAAGAAAGGATTGTTGCATGTGAAATGCATGGACAAGGGATAGAGTTACAGGGTAAGTTTCTATTCATGCAATTGATACTCACTTTTCAGTTGCTCATTCAACAAAATTTGAAATTCATGGTATAGATATGGTTTCTTTTCTGTTGCTAACTTCTCCTTTAGCTTATTTGCGGAGTTAAAAATCTGAAACCAGAGTTCTGCTTGTGGTAATTGGTGCTGCTGGATTGTATCTAACCTATTTAATGGCTTGCCAATTTTTCTTATGAATGAATTGATTGTGCATTAGCCACCGACCTCAACTAATTTGGGATAAAGGTATTGTTGATGTTGATAAATTGATTGTGCATATCTCCCCATTGTTTGAATATGTGATGGTTGGACCAATGACAACATATTACTTTTTTAGTTTTCATTCTAATTATTATTATTTTTGGGGGGTACTTGAGGCTAATTAACTTTTACTTGACATTTTATCATTCACTCGAAAGTGCTTATGTTGTAACAAGCATGACCTTGTTCTTGTCTCCGCAGGTTTCTATGGAAGTGATCATTGTCCAGTTACCTTGGAGCTCTCTCCATCTTCCAACTCTCAAAACGAGGATCCAATCTAAGAAGCACTTTGCTGTTCCGATCATTTTTTTTCTTATTTAGATGATCAATGTTCCTTAGTGAGAAGCTATTTTTTTTACAATGTTTCTGTGGTGTGGACTAGCTGCATACGTACAGAATATGGTTATAGTATTGATTAGGTGCTTCATCTTTAGATAATTTCCCCAAGAACTGAGACACTACTTCCAACTCTACAGTACTTTCATTGCAGCAAATGGTATTCACTTTAGCATTAGAAGTAAAACAAAACAAGTACATGGGGTCATTGGATTGATTCGGCCATCATATCAAAATTAATTTGGTGTGGGTGGTAGCCTGCAAAACCTCTAACTTGCATGATGCTGAGCAATTTTTTTTTTTTTTTTTTTTTTTTTTTTCCTGTCACTAGTCGCGAGATGCCATTATTTCCTCTATGTTTTTACACCACAAAACAAAAGCATTTATTTTGTATGATACTTTCTCTTTCTCAAAGTAAGGCATGAGACCTACTTGATGTGAAGTTTTTCTATAAAATGTGATTTTATCAGTCTGACTGTTGAATAATGATTAACTAGGCGATTGTGTATGCTAAATTATAAACAAATTACTTAGAAAGATTAAAAAGTCAACAGTTTAAAAATAAAAAAGTTATAATGCACTAATCCATTGTATTAATAAAGCATAAATTGATTTCTAAATAACAAAATGCGGTTAACATAATTGAACCTTGTTATCAATAAAAAAAGTAATTAGATAGAGTAGTTATAAATTAATTGTTATACAATATAAATAAATTTGAACCCTATGATAATAGGTGTTTGTTCAGAAAATGAAAGAACTTTATAAAAGAAAAAAAATTATTTTTCAAGTAGAAATAACTTTTAAGATGGAGTGTAATTTTGGGATAACATGATTTTTTGAAAAATATTACCAAAAATATTATTTTACGAATGAGTATAATTATTACATTAAAAAATATTTCTTTATCTAAAAGTGCGTCGAGATGTTTCCGAAAAAAAAAAAGTGCATGGAGATATGAAATTTTGCCATTTGTGTTCAGAAAGAGGAAAATTTCTTATATAGTACCGAGTTTGGGTACTCTCTTTTTCTTAAATTAGGAAAATTAGGTGTCATTTCAATCCATGCTTTTGTTGATAATTCCCATTTTAAGAAACAATGTTGGTACAGCGGTGGTATTAAAAAAGCGCTCCAGAAAGAGTATTTTTTTTTTTTTTTTGATAAACAAAAATTATAAGAAAGAGTATTAACCGAACATGCTTGGTACTTTTAAGATATCATATTTTAAGTAAGGAAAGTTTTCAGAATTACGGGATTTTCTTGTTAACAAGCCATCATAATAATTCAGTCCCAAAAATGTAGAAATAAAATGTTAATTTAGCAACCTACACACAAAAAAAGGAAAAAAAAATGCGCTACCTATTTGTGGTGATGGGAAAATAAATCTGTTTAAAACTATTACATGTGAATAAATGGTAGAGAATATTCAAGCTTCCGATAAAAGGGGAAATGATTATATTTAAACTTATTTTAGCTATGCAAAATAATACAAATTTGTTGTCATTGTTAACCTATGAAAGAAATCATGGGGTACATGAAATGGTTGTAAAAGTATTAGAGTAGCATTAATTTGTTAGGATCCTGATTGTAACTATCACGGTTTGTTACCTTGTATATTAAAATAGATTAGCTTGATTTATGCTTTCTGTTCCTTAAGTTTAGCTGATTTCCTGATGTAAATAGATTAGCTTGATTTATGCTTTCTGTTCCTTAGGTTTAGCTGATTTCCTGATCAATTGTAAATCTTGGTCTATATAATAGACCCAATTTAATATATCATTAAGCTGCGAATGACAGCAACTTCTGTTATGGTATCAAGAGCTTGACGATCAACAAGCCTTCATTTTTTTTTTTTTTCATCATGACTTCCGCACCTAAAACCTTCAAGGTTTCTGATTCTAAGTCACCCTTTTACCTGCACCCATCTTGGATCATCGACAGTGGTGCATCCCAACACATGACGGGCACACTCTCCTATCTATCCAATGTGCATTCTATTTCTCCTTGTTCTGTGGGACTGCCGAATGGAGTTCATGATATTGCTACGCAATGTGGCAGCATTACTTTGGGCTCTTCTCTTCATCTCTCCAATGTTCTTTATGTCCCTTCGTTGGCTTGTAATTTGATTTCTGTATCTCAGCTTCTGCGCCAGTCTTGCTTGGCATTGTTTGTTAATTCTGTTTGTTTGATACAGGACCTAAAGCAGAAGAGGACGATTGGAACGGGTGTTGAACGAGAAGGGGTGTATATATTGTGTGCATCATCAGCTTCTGCTCATGTTGCCAGTACGTCAGATTCTGCAGCACTATGGCATCGTCGTCTAGGACATCCATCTTCCCGTTATTTATCTTTGTTACCTTTTATTTCCAATGCAAATAATTTGGCTCCTTGTGACGTTTGTTGTAAAGCCAAACAACCACGAAGTCCTTTTCCTATTAATAATAAACGTTGTTTACATCCTTTTGATTTACTTCACTGTGATATATGGGGGCCATATCATATGGCATCTACAACTGGTGCCCGCTATTTTTTAACTGTAGTCGATGATTTTAGTAGACATGTTTGGATTTTTTTGATGCGCAATAAAACTGAAACTTCCACATGTTTACTTCGGTTTCTCCACTTGGTTCGCACCCAATATGATGCATCTGTTAAGCGAATTCAGAGTGATAATGGGACTGAATTTTTGTCATCTGTAGTCCAAGAGGCTCTCTCATCCTACGGTATTCATCATCAATTATCATGCACTTACACCCCACAGCAAAATGGACGCGTTGAACGTCGTCATCGTCACATCCTCAACGTGGCTCGTGCTTTGCGTTTTGATGGTCACTTACCTATATCTCTTTGGGGAGAATGCATCTTGACCGCTGCTCACCTCATCAACAGGACACCGACTCCACTCCTTGGTGGTCAGTGTCCCTATGAAGTTTTGCATGGCACTCCACCAAAGTATGATCACTTACGGGTCTTTGGGAGTTTATGTTACACTACTGTTTTACCCAAACCACATGACAAGTTCGCTCCTCGCTCCCGTAAGTGTGTGTTTGTTGGCTACCCTTTCAACAAAAAAGGATGGAAGGTCATGGATATCTCCACTCATGAAATATTTGTTTCTCGTGATGTTTTATTTCATGAAACTATTTTTCCATTGGCTGCAACTTCATCTGCACCTTCTGTCCATGTACCGTCACCACAAGCTGTCTTCACCGATTATGATGTGGCACCTGTTACTGCTATTGATACTCCCACAGCGGAGCTTGATGACAGGGGGAGTTCGTCCTCCCCAGTTCCGGGTTCTATTACTTCATCCACGGATGTCCCTGGTTCACCGGTTCCGTTGACAGAACCCAACACTGCATCTGTGGCAGATATTCGTGAACAGCGTGCCAGACGTCCCCCATCTCATTTAAAGGATTATGTATGCAACACAATGACTACACCCTTTCCTCGTCTCTCCACTTCTCCAATCGACTCAGGTATTCAATATTCCATTGATCATTATGTTTCTAATGCATTATTTTCTTCGCACCATCAGATTTTTCTTGCCGCCGTGGATAGTAACCTGGAACCCAAATCATTTAAAGAGGCTATGCAATATCCTCATTGGCAGAAAGCCATGCAAGCCGAAATTGATGCATTGGAAGCCAATCATACTTGGCAAATTCAACCTCTCCCTTCTGGTAAGAAAGCTATTCCATGTAAGTGGGTGTACCGCATCAAGTACAATTCTGATGGAACCATTGAACGCTATAAAGCGCGTCTGGTTATTGCTGGGAACAATCAGATCGAAGGAGAAGATTACACTGAGACTTTTGCACCGGTGGCTAAAATGACAAGTGTGCGTACATTTTTATCTGTAGCTGTAGCTCGAAAATGGAGCATTTTTCAGCTGGATGTTCAAAATGCCTTTCTCCATGGCGATTTGGATGAAGAAGTCTTTATGCGTTTTCCTCCCGGTTTCTCCCAAACCAAGTCTGGTCACGCCTGTAAGCTTCAACGTTCACTTTATGGTCTCAAGCAATCCCCACGAAATTGGTTTGCTAAGCTTCGTAGTTCTCTCCTCAGTTTCGGCTTTGTTCAGTCTCGTGCTGATTATACGTTGTTCACTTACTCGACTGGTTCCCATTATGTTGCTATACTTGTCTATGTAGATGATATTTTGTTGGCAGGTAGTGATCCTTCTCTCTGTGACCGTGTCAAAGCTCATTTACAAACCTGGTTTAAAATCAAAGATCTTGGTCCCCTCAAGTATTTTCTTGGCATTGAATTTGCTCGAAGCAAGACCGATTTGTTTCTTACTCAACGCAAATTTGCTTTGGATATTCTTAAGGAATGTGGACTTCAAAGTTGTAAACCGGTTGCTTATCCTATGGATCCCAATCACAAGCTTGCTCTTGCTGAAGGACCTCCGTTTGATGATCCTAAACGTTATAGACGTATTGTTGGCCGTCTTGTATATCTCACGATTACACGACCAGAACTTAGTTATGCAGTTCACACACTTTCTCAGTTTTTGCAGCATCCTATGCAGATACATTACGATGCGGCTATTCGTGTTCTTCGGTACATTAAGTCCAATCCTGGCCAAGGACTCCTTCTTCGATCTGACAGTGATCTTCTTCTTCGTGCCTATTGTGATTCGGATTGGGCTAGTTGTCCCTTGACTCGAAAATCAGTCACTGGTTATTTTGTTACTCTTGGACATTCTCCTATTTCTTGGAAAACCAAGAAGCAAAACACAATATCCCGCTCCTCTGCTGAAGCTGAATACCGTGCCATGGCAGCTGCGACTTCTGAGCTTATTTGGTTAAAGTCTTTTCTCAGCTCTCTTGATATTCCTCATGCAGCCCCTATGCAACTGTTTTGTGACAGTCAGTCTGCTATTCATATTGCTTCTAATCCAGTGTTCCATGAGCGTACCAAGCATATCGAGTTAGATTGCCATTTTGTTCGGGACTATCTTCTCAGCAAGACTATTTCTACTCAACATATCCCCACTAGTTCTCAACCCGCAGATATTATGACCAAAGCACTTGGATCCAAACAATTCGATTTTTTGACTTCCAAGTTGGGCATCTCCTCCCTCCATGCTCCACCTTGAGGGGGAGTATTAGAGTAGCATTAATTTGTTAGGATCCTGATTGTAACTATCACGGTTTGTTACCTTGTATATTAAAATAGATTAGCTTGATTTATGCTTTCTGTTCCTTAGTTTTAGCTGATTTCCTGATGTAAATAGATTAGCTTGATTTATGCTTTCTGTTCCTTAAGTTTAGCTGATTTCCTGATGTAAATAGATTAGCTTGATTTATGCTTTCTGTTCCTTAGGTTTAGCTGATTTCCTGATCAATTGTAAATCTTGGTCTATATAATAGACCCAATTTAATATATCATTAAGCTGCGAATGACAGCAACTTCTGTTAAAAAGAATTGATGGGATCCATATTTAGAAAGATATATACATCAATGCTCCGGTTTGATGTCGCTTTTTTTTAATTAGATTTTGTTAAGATATAAGAAATAACTTTATAATTAAAGTGGTACTTAAAAAATATTGATTAAGGAATTCAGAGAGAAGATAGAAAAAGAAAAGAAAAAAACTAATATTATATGAAGATGTCAAACTCCTATTTAAAATTTGTAAAGAAATATCTCAAATATGCCTTGAATTGGACTCACTTTCCATGTCACAAGCTCCCACCTGATGCATGCAAACCAAAAAGGAAAGTAAAACAGGGAAGGTTTTTAATGTTAAACTTGTAATTAGCTAGGAGATTGTTATCATTTGTTAATGCTACTGATTTTTACAATAAAGAAAAATGATTAATTGAGTACACGACAATCAAATCAAACCAAATATATATAACTATAATTATACAGAGAGAGAGAGAGAGTGTGTTGGAGACTGTGATGTGATTATACATTAATGATGGTGGCTAATTTGCATGATATTTTTTTCACTCAAGACCATATGTAGAATTCAGTTATTTCATGCAGGCAGGGCCTTGTAGAGGGGCCCCCCACTACTTGTTAGAGTACTACTGGCATGTCCCATACCATTAGTCCGTAAAGCACCAATCACATTAAGACACATGTCTCATTTTAAGGGACCTTCGTCCCTGACGTGTCACCAGTAGGTGGGTGGGGGTGGGGTCGTATTTGACTCTCCTTGTCCTAGAACAAAACCGTGAGGACTGACGTGTCATAGGGATTGATCTGCAAAATACAGGAAAAGTTGAAAGCGGCAGAGAAGGGCACATCTGCAAAAATAGTTTACCAATGTTTATTTATCCAGAAACAAAAAAACGCCAAAAGGGCATTAAATACGAATGGCAATTTCAGTAAATAAAAGGAGAAAACAATGGCATTAATTTAAACAAAGCCACAATAAAACCCCCCCAACTCACACAAACAACACTGACATGAATACACTAGTAGTGCTAGTACTAAAACCAGTGTTACTACCCTGCTAGTGTAGTGTTGCTGCTTCATTCAATTCAATTCAATTCAATTCGTCTTCCTCTGTAGCATTTTGAAAACAGAGGAAGTAGTAAAGTAAAGTAAAAGCGCATCATAGAATCTGAATAAACTTATTGCGTGCGTGTTCAATGAGAATCCCAAATCTGTGCCTCTGCCTCTGCCTCTGTTAATGACAGGTTCAGAGGGAAACGGTGACGTTTTTCCATGGCTGAAATCGATGCCTCTGGCGCCGGAGTACAGGCCAAGCGTGGCGGAGTTCCAAGATCCAATTGGTTACATTTTCAAGATCGAGAAGGAAGCTTCAAACTACGGCATCTGCAAAATCATTCCACCGTTTCCACCTTCTTCAAAGAAAACCGCCATCGCCAACCTGAACCGCTCACTTCCGAACCCTACATTCACCACTCGCCAGCAGCAGATCGGCTTCTGTCCCCGGAAACCCCGTCCGGTTCAGCGTCCGGTTTGGCAGAGTGGGGACCACTACACCTTTCAGGAATTCGAAGCCAAAGCCAAATCCTTCGAGAAAACTTACCTCAAGCTCAAGCGCCATAACAAGAAGGGACAGGGACAGGGACAGGGACAAGCACAAGGACCGCTTGAAACTGAGACACTCTTTTGGAAGGCCACCGTTGACAAACCCTTCTCCGTTGAGTATGCTAACGACATGCCGGGTTCCGCCTTCGCCGCCGCGAAATGTAGGGACTCAGGGGATCCCCCTGCGACTCTTGCTGACACTGCTTGGAACATGAGAGGGGTTTCTAGGGCCAATGGTTCTCTCTTGAGGTTCATGAAGGAGGAGATTCCTGGTGTCACTTCCCCTATGGTTTATGTTGCCATGTTGTTCAGCTGGTTCGCTTGGCATGTCGAGGATCATGACTTGCACAGCTTGAATTACCTCCATATGGGTGCTGGCAAGACCTGGTATGGTGTGCCCCGTGATGCCGCCGTTGCGTTTGAGGAGGTTGTTAGGGTTCATGGCTATGGTGGAGAGATAAACCCTCTTGGTGAGACTCTCACTACTACTACACTAATTATTTTTTTGTTTTAATCACTCACTCTGTTGTGGTTGCATACAACAACATTGTTGAATTTAGCTGGCAAATGACCAAAATGACATTTGAATATTGTGTTTTGTTCATTGAGTTTCTGTCTAAGTATGCATTTCCTGCATACTTGTGAAATGGTCAACTTTTGAAAGGTTAGTTAGGTTCTTGAGGCTGGCAAGATATGTTGATTGCCAGTGGAAGGTATTATGGCTCTGCACTCTGCATCTGTCTACATTCTTTGCTTCTTCTCCAATATGGAGTTTCTGGTGTTCTATTAATTGTTTGGGGATTGATATGGACTTCTATTGACTTTTCCAGAGGATTACGGAGTAAATTTGTGTGCCGTGATCTCTTTTGTGTTGTTTGGCTGAACTTGTAAATAGTTGTTTGGAACCAATTTGTTGTTCGGAAAATCATTTTCTCTGATCTGACACAGAATCTCCTGCAGTGTGCTGTTGTCAGCAAGATGTGGAGATATTCGCGGCCATGGAAAATGTTAATATATGTACTCTTTTACTATTTGTTTCATTTCTTTTGGCATGATGTGCATTTTCACCAATAAATTGAAGGATGCATGCTTGTTTCATGTCATGCTCTCACGATCATTATTTTCAGATCAAGGCATGATTGCTAAAAACAAGATTCACTACTGAAATCATAGGAGTTTATGATTTAAGTTTCAACCCTCTGTTTTAATTTCAGCCTGTTAAAAGTGGGTGAAATTATAATTTTAATGAAAGATGACAAAATTAGCGTTTATGTTGTGGATTTAAGGATTCCAATTCATTTCTTTAGGAGGCAACAAATGGGTCTAACGATTGAAGAAAATTTTGATAAAATCTTACTGTTTGGGATTAAAAAATCTACCCTCATTTGAGTAGGCACACCTGTCTTGCACTTGCTCTCTTCAAATACATCACTTAACAGAACCTTCAACCTTCTAGGTTTCTTGTTATGTGTAAGCTATCTTATTTGTTTATTAATTTATCGTCTTTTCTTTCAGCTTTGATGTATCATGTTTTATTTTTCAATCAATGTGCAATAAAAGATATTGGTTGGTCCCATCTGGGACAAGTGAGTGGAACTGATAGTGATTTCCATATGTTAAGAGGATGATACTTGACTTCTGTGTTTACATATGGATTCACACGCTACAAAACTTACATGGGTCTTGTTTCCCTTCAACAGTGACATTTGCTATTCTTGGTGAGAAAAACACGGTGATGTCGCCCGAAGTATTTATTAGTGCAGGTGTTCCATGTTGCAGGTACTAATTTTATGAATGTCATACTGTAGTTTGTGGTGATCTTATTTGGTAAATCCTCTGGATAAATCTCAAGCATAAATTACTTACACTACCAGTTTTACTGTGGCCTGTGTGTGGTGCTATTTACTTTGAATATCTTCTGCTTGATTTTATCCTACACAAATGAATTTCAACTTTAAAGCTGTTGAAGTTCAGTTGCAATTTCAAATACAATCTTGCTGGAAATGTATTCCTAGTCAAAAAAATGAACTTTATTATTATTATTATTATTATTTTAACTATTATTGCTGCATCCATTTCCATTTCCATTTGCATTTTTTTTTTCCGTTGTTGTTTGGCTACTACCCTTTGAAATTATTTGTTTGGCGTGCTAAATGATTATTGAGTGCTCCTTCACCTTTAAGCAGTTTCTGATGGTTAGTTTTGAAGTTTTTGGTAGAAACAAGGAAACCATAATGGTGTGGCAGTGGATAGTTTATGCAGTTGTCTGCTGTATTTGGTTGGAGTGGAACATCCTCATCTTTAAGGGATTCTCTTTTCCTCTAGATATGCTTTGCATAGGATTGTATTCAAGCCTTCTCTCTGGTGCTCTGCCAAGGCTGTGTCCGGGGATTTCCCATTTCCGATATGCAGGGAGATGGAAAAGCCTTGCTGTATACTTGGTTCTCTGTATTTTTCCTTTTTCTTTTTTCAACATCAACACCACCTATATCCCAAACTCTTCCTTTTTTTTTTTAAATAAAAAAATCTTTCTCTGCTTAAAAGAATATAATATCTTCACCTCACCCTAGTTGCTGTTACACTCTTCTCTGTCTATTTTTTTTTTTTTAAATATTGAAATAATGGATGTTAATAATCATCATTGGAATCATTAGAATCCATTATTGTTATTATTTTGGTGACCCTGTATGGTGGTGTACATGCATCTTAACTTCAACTTTCAACTGCTTTGATTCAGGTTAGTGCAAAATGCTGGGGAATTTGTTGTGACATTTCCAAGAGCCTATCACACAGGGTTTAGTCATGGTAAAGACACTTATAATATAAGAATGTTACTTATAGGATAAAGGACTCTCTCTTTCTCTGTCTCTTTTGTTTGGGGGAGGGGGGTGACGTTATTTTTGTTTCTGCCAATAGTTGAATTTTTCTAATGCTTTGAATGTATGCTGTGTAGGTTTTAATTGTGGAGAGGCAGCTAACATTGCAACACCTGAGTGGTTGAATGTTGCTAAAGATGCTGCTATTCGGAGGGCTTCAATAAATTATCCTCCCATGGTTTCACATTTCCAGTTACTTTATGACCTTGCCTTAGCTTTGTGTTCTAGGTTTGTCTTTCCCTATTGTAGCTCTTATAATTATCTATTAGAGTGTGCTGCCAATATCTTACCAGAATTATCTTGTTTTCTTGTCGTTTGAGTATATTGATGCAATTATTAATATTATTAACTTAATAGATTTTCAAGATGTAATCGGATTCCCCAATTTAAAATTCTGTGGATGATTCATTCTAGACATAAACTGTGTGTGTATTAATTTTTGAACAGCTTTTAATAGCGATTTGCATTTTTGGGCTTTCGTTGTTTGGAACTTCATGTAATGTGATTTGATCATGGTACAAATACAATGATTCTGATGACAATATGAGCTGTTATAACATATGCTCCCAGTAAATATTCTTGTTTTCTCCACGCAGAATCCCTGGGGGCATAAGTGCTGAACCACGGAGTTCTCGTCTTAAAGATAAGAAGAAGGGTGAAGGAGAAACTGTAATCAAAGAACTATTTGTACAGGATGTTTTACAAAACAATGATCTGCTTTATGAACTTGGGAAAGGATCTGCTATAGTACTTCTTCCTCGTAGCTCAGTTGACATTTCTGTTTGCTCAAAATTACGTGTTGGATCCCAACAACTAAAAGTGAACCCTGGGTTTTCCCTCAATTTATGCAATTCAAAGGGAATAAATTCCTCAAAAGGTTTTGTTTCTGATGATCTGGTGTTCAACAGGAATCATGGAATCAAGCAAGAAAAATGTTTCTATTCTATGAAAGACAAATTTACTACATTGTGTGAAAGGAACAGGATTTCCTCATTCAATGCAAATGGTAACATATGCACTTCAAGTTCTAAGCCACTGCAAAGAGATATTGAAAGAGAAATTAGTCAAGGAGATGGGTTGTCAGATCAGAGACTGTTTTCATGTGTCACATGTGGAATATTGAGCTTTTCCTGTGTTGCTATTGTACAGCCTAGAGAACCAGCAGCTAGATATCTTATGTCAGCTGATTGTAGCTTCTTTAATGATTGGATTGTTGGTTCTGGAGTATCTAGCAATAAATTTACTATTTCCCATCAAGATGCTACTGTTCCTGATCCAAATATGTATACAGGCAGGTTTTATAAGTTCGATTTCTAGAATTCCATATTTCGATTCATGTTGTATCAAAAAAGGTTTTTGGGTTTCTTCAGATCTTTTTGTATCATATGCTCATAAGGAAATATGTCTATTTTTTCGGTCAGTGTCTTTCTGCTTTTAAGATCTGAACTGCATGGTCAGCCTATCCTGACAATTTTCTACTGTAGAGCAGAAACACAAATGCTGTGCCTGTAGGTTATGACCTGTATCTGCATTCAAGAGTTAAGGAATAGGGAGTTGACTAAATGAGAGATACTTACCAGACTTCACCAATTAAGAGAGGAATAAACAAATTTGTATACTTCAGAGTTCTGGCATGCCTCTTTTTTTAGCCCCCTCTAGTTTTGGATTGGTATTTTTCTGTTAAAACTTTATTCTGTTTGGAAACAGTTATCTTTTTTTCCCCCTCTTGAATATTTCCTTTTGTTAAAGATTGATTATATATAAATTAGCTAATATCAATCTGGGCTTTAGTATAACTTATTTATCTATCTTCTATTTCAATTTTCTCTTATTGTCCTTTGGGACTTATTTGGGGTCCAGAAGGTTGGTTTGGATCCTGTAGTGCTTTTGTAAACCAGGGAAATGGTTGAGTTGATTAGTTGTAATAATTAAATCCTGAACTCCAGAAGACAAGAAGAGTGTCTTGCCTTTTGTGATGGTTGAAGAAGCTTTGAGTTGTCCTGCCATCAATGCCATGAACTCATCATTAGTTACATTATAGTGAATCTCATTATCAGGTTTTAGTTGGGATAATAGGAGAAAAGGAACATGAACTAAGGCCTGATGCAAAGCCTTTATGGTGTGCATAAGTAAGCAGAACTTGGGTATCTAAGCAGTTAAATGCCTTTTATATCTCCCTTGCTTTATCTCTTAAAAGTTTGCATTGTATAAATTTTAGTTTCAATCTTCCTTAGCAATGATTTAGGTAAAAGTACTGATCCATTTTGTTCTGTTATGAAGGGTGGATGAAAAAGAATGACCAAGATGGTTTATATGATGCTCTAGTTCAATCTGCTCAATACCGGAAACAAACTGCAAATCGAAATTATGAGGAGGCTTTAAATACTGAAAAAGAAAAAGGCAATACTGCTCTGGCATTATTGGCTTCAGCATATGGAAATTCTTCAGACTCTGAGGATGATCAGGGTGACCCAGATATTGCAATTGACGGTCATGAATCAAATGTGATAAACTCTAAATCAGGAAAACTACCTTCTAATTTTCAAGATTTTCATGCTAGTTCCGTGACTAAAATTGACATGGGAGATGATGTTCCTTCAAAGAGTGCCAATCATGAAGATTATATGCATCACAGATTTGAGTGTAATTTGAGTCATCAGTCTTTTGATCACACTTTTGAGAAACAGGATTGTGATATTATTTCAGGGTTTACATTTAAAAATATGAGGGAAGTGCTGAATTCCACCTCTAATTGTTCCCAAGATGCTCATGATTCTGAAAAGTCATTGTCAGTCAAGGCTATGGTTCCCGTTGATAAGAAAAATGCTTCATTGGTGCCACAATCTGATGAAGACTCATCTAGAATGCATGTATTCTGTCTAGAGCATGCTGCAGAAGCAGAGAAGCAACTTCGTCCAATAGGTGGAGCCCACATATTGCTCCTATGTCATCCAGGTCTGGGGGTTGATCTATTGACTATTCATTTTATGCTTTGTTTATCTCATGCCCAAGTTCTTGCAAAAAAAATTCTACTCCTCGCCTTTTGCCACTTTTTGTTCTTTGAGAATAAACACTTAGTAATTTCAGAGTTTAAGCTGGTTAAGAAACAAGGGAACCTTTGTTATGAAATATGAGTCTTGTCATGGAAGTGATGTCAGTTTATGTTGCAAGGTAAGAAAAGTTCCTTTTTCTTCTTGATGAAAAGGTTATCAAACTTTACTAAGAGTTTGAATTTGATTCACTGTCAGTGTGAAACTTTTTACAGTAATGGAAATAAAAGATACTACATTACTGTAGCAGCCAAGATTTATAGTAAAATCTTTTAACTGTTTTTTAAATAGGTAGCACCATACGGTTTGCTGATAGTGTAAATTTTTTTACATTATCTGTAAAAATCATGATTCTGATTTATTTTTTATTTTGTTCTTTTTTTATTTAGTTATTTTTTAAGCCATAGACTTGTACAAAGGTATTGTGTGATCATGAATGACACAAGAAACTGGCATTTTACTCGTTCTCATATTTCAGCCTTAGGTAGAATTTGGTAGACTTGAGAATGGGACGGAACATAACATATGGATCGTGTTCTATGTTCTGTACATTTTAAAAATAGAACATAACGGGTTAAAATATAGTACACTTTGGTTTCATTAAAAGAGGTGGAACCATGGAAAACAGAAGAGGGCAAAACCGTTCCACTCTGTTCTATCCGCATACCAAACGTTACCTTAGGGAAATCCTTTTAGTTCATGTTTGTCCAACTATGATGGGTTATAACCATAATCATTCACAAGCCACGGTATCTAAAATGATGTTTCTTTCTGATTTGAAAAAGTATTTTCCATATAGTTATAGATCGATGATAGTTGGTGTGTATTACCTAATTGCTACTGATTAAATGTATCTTTATTTTCTGCATCTCTTATAGGATTATGATTACTAGTGTTTATGTTGTATAGTCTCTGTTACTAGTTTTCCTCCTGTAAGCAAATAATTAATAATTTATTATTCATATTTCTGTAGATTATCCCAAGATAGAGGCTGAAGCAAAGTTTGTGGCAGAAGATTTGGGGATTGGTTACATGTGGAAGAATATTGCATACAAGCATGCCACCAAAGAGGATGAGGAGATGATCCAGTCAGCTCTGGATAGCGAGGAAGCTATTCCTGGGAATGGGGACTGGGCTGTAAAGCTAGGAATCAATCTCTTTTACAGTGCAAATCTTAGCCGCTCTCCTCTTTATAGTAAGCAGATGCCTTACAATTCTGTTATATATTATGTATTTGGGCGTAACTCTCCAGCAAGCTCACCCATACAACCAAAGGTCTATCAGAGAAGAGCCAACAGGCAGAAAAAGGTAGTTGCTGGGAAATGGTGTGGAAAAGTTTGGATGTCCAATCAGGTCCATCCCCTCTTAGCAAAAAGAGATTCTGAAGATGTTGAGGATGAGAAAAGCTTATATGGGTGGATATTACCTGATGAGAAAATTGAGAGATCGGAAAGTACCCACAAAGGCGAAACTAGTATCAGAAAATCAGGCAGGAAAAGGAAAATGACTGTAGAAAGTGGACGAACCAGGAAAGGCAGTTTTGTCGAGAGAGATGTGTTTTCGGATAATTCCACTGAAGATAAACCCAACCCTCAGCCAAGGAGGATTCTTAGAAATAAGCAAGCCAAGCATATTGAGAGAGATGGTGCAGCTTTGGTTGGAGATTATTCTCCTCCATATCATCATAGAAAACCTATAAGCAAGCAAACAAATTGCACTGAAAGTGATGCAGTTTCTGATGATTCACATGATGATAATTATCATATGCGGCGCAGGAGGAATGTTAATGTCAAAAAAGCTAAATTTATTTACAATGATGTGGTTTCAGGTGATACAGTGAACTATGATTCCGATTGGCAGCAGAGGGGAGAACTTAGCAGCAAGGAAGTTGAAGACACAGAGAGAGATGCAATTTCAGAGGATTCTTTGGATGTTGGTTCTCCTCAGCTGCATAGGAAGACTTCTCAAAGCAAGCATGCCAAATACATTGAAGAAGATGTGATTTCTGATGACCAAATGGAGAATCCTTTTCAGAAGCAGCAAAGGAGAATTCCTAAAAGCAGGCAAGGCAAATCCCTTGCTGAAAAGGATATAATGATATCTGATGATAACCTGGAGCTGAACATCCAGAAGAAGCAGCAGAGGAATCCTAAAAGCAGGCAAGCCAAATGCCTTACTGGAGAGGACATTATATCAGACGACCAACTGGAGGGCCATTATCGCAAGTATCGAAGAAGGACTCCTAAAGGCACGCAAGCCAACTGCGAAGCAGGGGAAGATGTAATGTCTGACAACCAATTGGAGGATTGCTTTCAGAAGCAGGTAACAAGTTTTTCTAGGACAAGGCAAAATAAAGGCATTGATAGAGAAGTTAAAAATGTAATCCAATTGGAGGATCACTTTCAGAAGCAGCAGAGAAGATTTCCCAGGAGCAGGCAAAACAAACGCATTGATAGAGAAGTTATGGATGACTCGGCTGAAAGTATTTCTCATCTGCTGCATAGAACTCCTAAAACGAAGCAAGCTAAATGCATGAACGAAGATGATATGCATTCAGATGATGAAATGGAAGATGATTCTCTTCAGCAGCACAGGAGAACTCTTCGAAGTAAACAATCTAAACCAAAGACACTTAAAGAGATGAAACAAGCTAACCCTCCCCAAGTGAAAAACCAGACATTGCGGCCTGTAAAACGAGGGGCTCAGATCCAGATGAAATCAAAGGCTCCTCAGCAAATAAAGCAGCCTTCTCATTTACGGAATAAACAATCTGGTAACTCCAGAGAGTTATGTTTACATATGGATGTGGAGGAAGATGGTGGACCTAGCACACGCCTTAGGAAGAGAGTCCCAAAAGCTCAGGAGTCGGAAGGAAAATCAAAGGACAAGCAAACCAAAAGGAAAAAGGTGAAGAATGCTACAGCGGCAAAGGTTTCAGCTGGCCATGCCAAAATGAAGGATGAGGAAGCAGAATACCAGTGTGACATTGAGGGGTGCACCATGAGTTTTGGGTCAAAACAGGAGCTAGTGCATCATAAGAGAAATATCTGTCCTGTAAAAGGGTGTGGGAAGAAGTTTTTCTCACACAAATATCTGGTGCAGCACCGTCGAGTTCATGAGGATGACAGGCCCCTAAAGTGCCCTTGGAAGGGGTGCAAGATGACTTTCAAGTGGGCATGGGCTCGTACTGAACATATTCGAGTCCACACTGGTGCGCGTCCTTATGTCTGTGCTGAGCCAGGCTGTGGGCAAACATTCAGATTTGTGTCTGATTTCAGTCGTCATAAGCGAAAGACTGGTCATTCAACAAAGAAGACTCGTTAATAGCAAGTGTAATAGATGTGATTGTTACTTAACATGGTTTATGAATTTAATGAATCCATTGCTCAATTGACCGGGCTAGGACTAGGTTTTACAGACAGTTTAGGATATCCCTGCAATTGCCATTTGTAGTAACTATTAATTCTGTTTGCTTCGGGTCTTCAACCCATTTGTTTATTACAATTAATGCAATTGCTTGGATCTGGAAACATGATTCTCATCCAGTTCATATCACATGCAAATGCTGTTCCAACATTTATGCTACGTGAATTGTGATGAATTTGTTGCATGGCCATTCCTTAATTACCGTGTCACCTGCTTGGTACAAGTCATGCGCTAAGCAATAGGCATGCTCCAAGAGGTCGTGGCCACGAGATGCCCTGCAAAGGTCAGGGTATTCATGTATGGTTTATTGAAGGGTATGTTGAATAAACTTTAAATGGTTTTTTAGTTTTATATTTAATAGTCTTAATTAAGCAGTCTTGTTTTTAGGTAAGTGAAAGGCCAAGAGTTGTGAGAAAGCGAAAGGCCAAGAGTTAGAAGAAAATGAGAGGCCAAGAGTTGGAAGTTTAATTTTGTGGTTTATGGCTATTTTAATGTTAGGTTCGTGAAAAGGCAATCTACTGCCTATATAAACTAATCCATATTGTAAGCAAAGGACACAGAGTAAAAGTTGAAGAGAAATACAAGTTTTGTTCTCTGAAGTTGTCTTCTCCACCAGAAAATAGTTGTTTTTTTTTATTTAGTGATACCACAAATTGGTATCAGAGCTATGGAAAGGGGGAGTGATATGGCACTACCTAAGTTGACGAAGGAGAACTACGAGAATTGGAGCATCCAGATGAAGGCTCTTCTCGGATCCCAGGACGCTTGGGAGAATGTTCAAGCAGGTTTTGTAGAACCACAGGATACTGGAGGCTATTCGGCGGCTCAAACTAAAGCGTTGAAAGAGACACGTGCAAAAGACAAGCTGGCGTTATTCATGCTCTTCCGAGCTGTAGACGAATCCGGGTTCGAGAAGATAGCAAATTGTGAGACCTCAAAGGCAGCCTGGGACATCTTGGCAAATGTCTATAGAGGAGCTAACCGGGTTAAACAAGTCCGGCTTCAAACAAGTCCGGCTTCAAACCCTTCGTGCCGAGTTGGAGGGAATGAAGATGAAGGACACAGAAGGAGTATCCGGGTTCGTTGCCCGGGTTCAAGGAATTGTGAACCAGTTGAAACGGAATGGAGAAGATATACCTGACACCAGAGTGGTGGAGAAAATCTTGAGATCTTTGACAGACCAGTTCGAAAACGTGGTTTGTGCGATAGAGGAGTCCAAGGATCTGTCTACACTCACCATTGACGAGTTGGCGGGTTCCCTTGAAGCGCATGAACAAAGAAAGAAGAAGAAGGAGGAAACTCTTGAGCAGGCACTTCAGACCAAAGCAACAATTAAAGATGAGAAGATGCTCTATTCTCAAAATTTCTGAGGTAGAGGACGTGGCCGCAGTGGACGAGGTACTAGCCGTGGTGGTAGAGGTCGAGGCCGAAGTCAAGAAGTGTATAGTGATGAGGTAGGACAGTCAAATCAACAAAACTGGAGAGGACGAGGACGAGGTCGACGAGGAGGTCGGTCACATTATTCAAACATCGAGTGTCACAAATGTGGAAAGTTTGGTCACTATGCGAAAGATTGTAACTCGGACAAGTGTTACAACTGTGGCAAAGTCGGACATTTCGCAAGAGAATGCAGAGAGGAGAAAAAGGTGGAGGAGACGTCCAACCTAGCCACAGAAGGCGAGATGAAGGATGGTGTCTTGTTAATGACACACAGTGAAGGAAGTCCTGACGATGACATGGAGTGGTATCTTGACACGGGTGCGAGCAACCACATGTGCGGACATAAACACTTCTTCAAGGAGATGATAAAAGTGGAAACCAGACATGTTTCGTTCGGGGATGCCTCAAAGGTTGAGGTAAAAGGCCGAGGTACGATCTGTTTCCTACAAAAGGACGGGTTAATTGGCTCAATTCGAGATGTGTACTATGTACCCGACCTAAAAAGCAATATTTTAAGCATGGGTCAACTGATGGAGAAAGGTTACTCCGTTATTATGAAAGACCGGGTATTGAATTTGAAAGATGAGCAAGGTCGGATGATAGTCCGAGTTCAAATGGGTAAGAATCGTATGTATAAACTGAATTTGAAATGTGTTCAGGTTGAATGTTTACAAGCCGAGGTAGAAGATAAGGCGTCACTTTGGCATCTCCGGTTTGGTCACCTACATTATGGTGGTCTAACCAAGTTGGCAGAGAAAAAGATGGTGGACGGGTTACCTGACATAAACTTTGAAGGAAAGTTTTGTGAGAGTTGTGTACTTGGCAAGCATGCCAGGACCACGTTTCAGAAGATGGCAAGATTCCGGGCTAAGCAACCTCTGGAACTAATACATACCGACTTGTGTGGACCCATCAATCCGGGTTCCTTCAGCGGTAAGAAGTATTTTATTTCCTTTATTGATGATTTCTCACGGAAAACTTGGGTTTACTTTCTGAAGGAGAAGTCCGAGGTGTTTGATGTGTTCAAAAAGTTCAAGGTGATGATTGAGAAAGCAACAGGAAGCTATATCAAATCGGTGCGGTCTGACAGAGGTGGGGAATATACCTCAACAGCGTTTATGTCGTTCTGTGAGGAACAAGGGATAAGGAGGTTTCTAACAGCACCATACTCACCACAACAGAATGGTGTGGCTGAAAGGAAGAACCGGACTATTCTTGACATGGTTCGGTCAATGCTGAAGAACAAAAGGATGCCGAAGGAGTTTTACGCGGAAGCTGTGCAGTGTGCTGTGTATGTGCAGAACCGATGTCCACATTCAAGCTTGGATGACAAAACACCACAGGAAGCATGGAGCGGTCAAAAGCCTTCAGTGGCTCATCTCAGAGTTTTTGGTAGTGTGGCCTATGCACACATACCGGACCAGCTCAGAACCAAGCTTGAGGATAAAAGCAAGAAATATGTTTTTATTGGATATGATGAAAAAACAAAGGGGTATAAGCTGTTTGACCCCGTCAACAAGAAAGTCATAGTGAGCAGAGATGTAAAGCTCAATGAAGCAAATGAGTGGGACTGGAGCAATTCATCTGAGATAAACTTTGAAGACGGAATCACAACACAAATTATCAACCCGGCAAGTCCTGAAGCTTCTGATGATGAAGACGAGGTACGACAACCCAGGATGCGAAGCATACAAGACATATATGAGTCAACAAGTGAGGTACATTTTGTTTGTCTTCTTGCAGACTCTGAGAACATAAGTTTTGAAGAAGCCATCCGAGATAAGAAATGGCAAGACGCCATGGATGAGGAGATAGAAGCCATTGACCGAAATAACACATGGGAGTTAGCCGAGCTACCAAAAGGAAGTCGGCCCATTGGAGTGAAGTGGGTGTTCAAGAAGAAGATGAATGCTCAAGGAGAGATAGAACGATATAAAGCTCGGCTAGTTGCAAAAGGTTATAAGCAGAAGGCTGGAATTGACTATGACGAGGTGTTTGCCCCTGTTACAAGGATGGAGACAATTCGGCTACTCATCTCACAGGCTGCTCAATACAGATGGCCAATACATCAAATGGATGTAAAGTCGGCATTCCTGAATGGTGTTCTTGAAGAAGAAGTTTATGTGGAACAACCGCTGGGCTACATGAAGGCAAGAGAAGAGAAGAAGGTGCTGAGATTGAAGAAAGCACTTTACGGGTTGAAGCAAGCACCACGAGCATGGAATGCTCGTATTGACAAATATTTCAAGGAGAATGGACTTGAACAATGTCCATATGAACATACTGTGTATGTCAAGAAAAATGGAGGAGACTTGTTAATTGTAGCTCTTTATGTTGACGACCTCATTTTTATGGGAAACAATGCCAAGATGATACAAGAGTTCAAGAGCACAATGACAAGAGAGTTCGAAATGACAGATCTCGGTTTTATGAAGTTCTTTCTCGGTTTGGAAGTAAAACAAAATGAGAAGGGAATCTTCGTGTCACAGGAGGCTTATGCAAAAAAGATTTTGAAAAAGTACAAGATGGAAGATTGCAACCCGGTTTCAACACCAATGGAACCCGGTTCAAAACTTTCTAAGTTTGATGGAGGAGACCGTGTTGATGCAAGCAAGTACAGAAGTTTGGTGGGAAGCCTACGCTATATCACATGCACGAGGCCGGATATCTCGTTGAGTGTCGGCATAGTAAGTCGGTTCATGGAGGAGCCAAGATACACACATTGGAAGGCGGTAAAGAGAATTCTGAGGTATGTTCAAGGTACAGTTTCACATGGGTTACACTGATCGAGCTCGGTAAAATACAAGTTGATTGGATATTTTGACAGTGATTGGTGTGGAGACGTAGATGATCGAAAGAGCACGGCTGGTTATGTGTTTTTCATGGGCAACACGGCATTCACTTGGATTTCGAAGAAACAACCTATTGTGACACTGTCGACATGTGAAGCTGAATATGTAGCTGCATCTTGGTGTGTTTGTCATGCAATGTGGCTCAGGAATTTGCTAAGCAAGCTGGAGGAAAAACAAGTCGGCCAAACTGTGATCCGAATTGACAATAAGTCGGCTATAGAGCTAGCAAAGAACCCGGTAAATCATGAAAGAAGCAAGCATATTGACGTCCGATTTCACTTCATCCGGGATCAAGTAAAGGAAGGAAATGTGGAGCTAACACACGTGACCAGTCAAGAGCAAGTCGAGGACATCTTCACAAAGCCACTACCGACGGTGCTGCTCAACAATTGCAAGAAGATGCTTGGGATGAAAGATGGCAGAAGCATTTAAGTTTATGGAGGAGTTTTGTTGAATAAACTTTAAATGGTTTTTTAGTTTTATATTTAATAGTCTTAATTAAGCAGTCTTGTTTTTAGGTAAGTGAAAGGCCAAGAGTTGTGAGAAAGTGAAAGGCCAAGAGTTAGAAGAAAATGAGAGGCCAAGAGTTGAAAGTTTAATTTTGTGGTTTATGGCTATTTTAATGTTAGGTTCATGAAAAGGCAATCTACTGCCTATATAAACTAATCCATATTGTAAGCAAAGGACACAGAGTAAAAGTTGAAGAGAAATACAAGTTTTGTTCTCTGAAGTTGTCTTCTCCACCAGAAAATAGTTGTTTTTTTTTTATTTAGTGATACCACAGGGTATGCCACCTTTTTCTGCGTCAGACTTAATGTTTTTTTCTTCCATCTTAGTAACGCATACCTTTTCTGGTTTTGTTT